TAAGATTTATAATGTCTAAATCTAAAGGTTTTTTAAATAATTCGAATTTTATCAAAATCTAACATTATTTTCATGTGTCAAATACTTTAGAATTATTTAAGCTATGTTAACGTAATTCGTATTGTAGTGTAACAAGAAATAATATTTTATATCCCAACGATAATAAACTTACCATTTTATTCAGGGTGTCCACAAATTTAAACTAATCAAATAAGAAATTTAAGTGGCTCTAACTTGATTAATTTAAATACAACCCCATATTTTTTAGCTTACCAGGAAATGCAATTTTTAATTACCTATCGAATGGTACTAGGATGTTTATAACTAAGTTTTTGCCTTTTTACAAAATACACCAAATAATGGTTCTGTACACCATTTGCTGTTTTTTTTATTAAAAGGTTAAATAACATATCAACAATAACATAAAACAAAGGCAAATTATTTATAACAAATGTTAGAAATGTTGACCGTCAATTTCCAACACTTGTAAATTCCGGGGTCCGTATAGCGAAACCTGCACTAAAACACCCAATGCACAAGACCAAGGGAGGGAACTAATCGGTGTCGCCATCTATCGCTCGTGTTAAAAATTAAGGATTTACTAATATAGCTATTAAAGGGCAGCACCCATATCATTTAAGGGTATGAAAAATAGATAACAACCTATTCTCAGACCTACTGAATATACATATAAAATTTCATCAAAATTGGCCAAGCCGTTTCGGAGGAGTATGGTAACAAAAACTGTGACACGAGAATTTTATATATATAGATTCGGTTCATTGGCTTTTATTACTAAATTATATAAACAATATAACATTAAATACCTTTGGAATGGCATAGAAAGAAAAACTCCGCAAATTTAATTTGTTTAAAGCATAATTTTTGTAAAATTAGATGATGGACTTAAACCATGTTGAGAGACAAATTCAATTGATAATTTGAATATTGTCGTCGAGAATAACTGTGAAACCTACTCGACGCCTTCGTCTTGTCATCGAAATTTTTCTTCCCCAGGTTAAGAATTTGTGCAATTATTTTGAGTGACATGTTGGAAGAGGCAGAAAATCGTAAACCATATTTACCCGTTCTTTGTAAAAGCTCTTCCACGATAAGCGAGATTTCCAGCGGGAGACGTCTGCTAAAAATAATCCCACAATTGACAATGTTCCACAAATTGTTACGATAAAGCATGCCACTCAAATACGTCTGGAGATTATAACAAAATTCAATGCATTTCCAGTTTTTTCCCGTTTATTTAACTGGTGACCCAATTGGCGTTTATTTATCTTCCATTGCTTGATCCTTTGTAGCCATTGGAGATCCATTCTGGATAATGTAATTGGATGGAAGAATAATTATTCCATCCAATTACCAATTATTGGCAAGTTTCATTTAGAAAAAGTATTTTTCAAAACTTCTAAATTTAAAATTTATTTGCAGCTTACGTATTTGTGTACGTCTCAGCATTTTCTCAAAATCAATGGCTCAACTAGCGTTGTTCGTTACGAATGTACAAATAAAGCTGAAATGCTTGTATACCCAGAACATGTGATGTTTATTTTGCTAGCGACATTTTTCATGTGTAAAGTTGTGTATTTCAGCAGCATGTAATAAGCCAATGCAAACCCGAAGGTACACATTTGCTAACGGCAGGAAATATTTTAATAAGAACTGTCTTTACGTGAACTTCCTATTTGCTCCCTCAGTACATTGTGGAAGGTTGGATGGTTGGAGATTTGCTGCCTCCTTTTTCATTAGTTTCCTAATGGTTTCACTACATATTCAGCCAGCTTACACAGTTGAGTTAATCCTTAATAGTTTAGTGGGATTAGAGATTCTTCGGCATGTATTGGCAACAGATCGGTTTTGAGCTTAGCTGAGAGCAAAGAAGAATTGTCGAGTTACGTGAAAGTTATTCTATTGAAATCCTGACAAAGCATCTGGATCCAACAGAATGGAGCACTTAAACATTTTGCTAGACTTCAGATCGACAATCTCAAACGAAAACTGTCTCTAGGGGTTAGTAGCCTGAAAACGGATATAGACCAATGCAGGCCAATAGATAGATTTTTCATTCCTGGATTGATTTCGGTTTGAGACTTTTCTTTTTTCCACATTTGTCTCAAACCATTTATTTGCCTGTTGTTGTTGCCAACTACAATCCTTTTTTCGGCTTACATTATTACGCCCTGTATTGTAGTTACATGCTCAGGCATGTGAAACAATACGCATTCCAGAATGAAGAGATCGTAATTATGGACCCAACGTGAGGATTATAAATTCAGTTTAACTAGCACTGTATTACAGCTGTTCTTTAGGGGACAATTTATGTTTCAGACGTCAAGATTTATATATTCCAACAGCAGCAGCATCGGTGAAGAGCTGCTGTGTTGGTACGATGACAGGACGATAAATATTCATAAAATAATACAAAAGCTTTTTAAGGAAAGAGTTATTTATGGCCTCACTATTTCTCAAGCGGAAACGCAATATTCGGGTTTTCGGAAACTTTCTGGAAAAATGTAAATCGCATCTGCTAAGGTCTACCAATTCGGTACACTAAAAGACACCTTGCTTAAACATTAATAATTTCTCAGAATAAGCTTCAATTAGTGTTTGGTAATGTAAGATCTTAAGCAATTTTTTCAATTGATGAAATATTGATCTTTGCAGATAATTATGTTCTGCAATTTAAGTAGCAAGTTAAACACTGAAAACGCAAAATGCAAATTTGATGCTTTCGTATGTAAAATTATGAAAATCCTTGAAAAAATTAATCACTTAAAAATAGGGAAAAGTTCCGCCATCCTGTATGGAGGTTTTATCAAAATAGTTCCTATAAACCTAATAAAATTGAAAATGGATGAAAAAAATGTTGACAAAACTATGAAATGATACTTATAAGTCTGGTAATAAAATAATCGTCCGTTGAAAAAACACTATCCTGATCAAAATGGTCATTTTCCAACTCGTTCCAAAGTGCGACCGAACTCATAATGCTGCCAGTTATGGGTTTCAGGCTGCTTAACTTAAGCTAAATTCACGTTGCTTTTCTAATTGGTTAATTCCGAACCTGGCAGCATAAAATTCGCGGTTCTGTGGCTCTCTTTGCATTCTTGATGTCTCATAATTTAGGTGCTGAGCTAAAATTTTTCGAATTTATTAACGAGATTTTGCTTTTACTGCCAATGGAATATTTTACGCGTTTGAGGCGCTTGCAGGTTTCAGCTTTAGAAATTTCGACCATAATCTTGAAATATTATTTTCAATATTCGAAGTTCTGAAGGAACATAAAAAGATGTTGCAGACAAATTTTAATTTTGATATTTATTTATTCACGCTTGAAATGAAATCAACTAATTTGAAAGAATAATATTTTCCTTTCTTGCCTTTTCCGGATATTTCTACACTTTACATTTTTTTTTATTTGTCCCAAAAATTCAGTTTAAGCAAACATTTTTAAATGACCGTTAATAATAATCCAAACTACATCCAATGACCAAAGAAAGCTCTTTTTAAAAGATTTGAAAGAAACCACAAAAACACAGTACTTACCTACATGAAATCTTGTCTGGGGTCAGAATTATTACAAAAAATACTTACTTTCCCACAAAAGCACCAATTTTTAAATAAAGCTTTTGAAAATTTGTGGGAAAAAGATAGTGTCAACTGATGTGCAAACTTTACTTGGTACTTTTTGCATTCGAATATAACAAACCAGTGCAATTTCCTGCCTTAATAATCCGCGGAACTTTTCAAAGCAATAAAACAAAATTGTTAAAATTTTATCTAATGAAAGATGTGCTGGGCAAAAACGTGTCACGAGCAAAATAATGGTATTGAAATAAAATGAAAGTTTAACCAAACGAAGGGCAGCCGGAAACAAATTAAATTTCTGGTTAAACTTTAATGTCCTTTCCATAGCGAAAAGTAGAAAGCCGATGTAGCGAAAAATTCGATCAAATTTTATAAATACGTTATAAGTCAAGTTAAAAAATTCTGAGGATATTCGGAAATATACTTAAACTATTTCAGAAGTTTTGATTGTTTGCCATAAGAGGCGACCGATTACTAAAAATCCTTAACAAAATATGCTCTCTACCTATATGCGAGTAAAGTTCTTACCTTACTGTCAGCTTTAGGAACAGCGTCAGCACACACAAAGTCTCCAGAAAAAATATCGTTACTGCATATGCACTGAAAAGGAAAAAAATATACAAAGTAAGTCTGCCGTAGTTTTTGTTGGAGAAATGCTGGGAAAGTAGCATAAAGACCATTATTTTTGCCCTTTTAACATTCCGGACTAAGTACTTCGAAAAACTTTGTCTAAGCTCTTTCATTTACTCGACGAGAGGTAACGAAAGGCATATTAAAAGGGTTATGGAAAGAACTTTTCCCAAGTTTCCCACTTTCAACATAATGCCGAGGCATTTTGGTTTTTAGAAACGTCTAACATGCTTGAACTTTCTTAATTAAATCAACAGAAGTAGAAATTTTAAAAAGTCAATATATGCGCGCATTTCAGATCTTTTTAGCATCATTTTCTACATAACTTATAGCTCTTATCGGAGGAATTAATTTAAAGCTCGATATGAAAAATGGGCCAACCTCTCAATTTAGATGTAAAAGCATGTGCGTCGTCCAATTTTCATATGAATTCATCCTCAGTAGGGAATAAAGGTCGTCTTTCGAACCGAATGAATAGTAGTCTTGGGGTGGAAAATGGCTGACGCTAGTAATCCCTTTTACAATTCCCGCTTGTATTTGCTAGCAAATAAGTGGATTGTTGCAAAACTGAGCATGCTTTTGTTAAGCAAGCAAGGCAAATTTCAATGCTTCAAAAATCCCGTAAGATTTTATATTTTGAGATCAATCAATATTTATATTTCTAATATAAATATTCTATTCTTCATAAGAACAAGATATAACTTATAAATTGTTCTTATAGAGAAATGAAACGGAGCTGCAATCGCCAACAATTTATTATAATTTTTTTAAACCGTTAGGGGATAGTCATTATTTCTTTGGAGTTCTCAACCACTCCCTGCTTGAAAAAAAAATGTATTCTTTTACTTAAAGTTTTTCTCAAAATGTTTGTCATTTAGCAAAATAAGTATCTATTAATTTCGAAGAAATTAGTACGAACATATACGACGATTCAGAACGACAACAGGTAACTATCTTTTGATCAATCTATATTTTTGCGAGCTCTAAAATAAACGTTATTATTAATATTATTTCCATAATTATTATTCAGTTAAAAATGTCCCATTATTGTTAATGAAAACACAATTATCTTTAATGAATAAACAAAATTTGTACTGAGAATATAGTACTTATAGTATATACTAATATATATAGCTAATATCTAATCTAATCTAATGTAACAAAGGCAAAGAAAAGTGTGGAAATGTACTCCAAAATAACTCAATTTTCACGACAATATGCCACATACAAATTAAGTAACCGAATGGGAAATTGTTGTCCACAAACGACATGAAAAGATAATGGAATGTTTATAAAAATGTATTATACAATAATCAATAAGAGTAGTTTCTGATTTTTAATATTCGATTAATTATTTCGCTATCTTTGCTAAAGCTGTTAAGCAATTTTCTTTAAGGGTTTATGTTCTTTTCTTCAATAAATAAAATGTGTAATTTCTTAGTTGAATCTATATTACTTAAAGCTATCACTGTGTTGTAAAATACGTCTACAATTTCCATCATCAGATTAAAAATTTAATTCTCCAAAATGTATAGTTTTTAGACGATGGTTCCTATCATGTAAAAAATGTATGCGTCAACATGTAACTAAAAACTGAAGTCTTGTTTCTTGTTATCTTGTAACACTTGTGTTTTGTGGCTGCGATCTAATTTTTTTAAGTACCTATTTCAAACAATTTTTCATATTTTTCATAAGCCAGCTTTATTTAATAGATAGCCAGATAAGAGCATGTTTTAATTTGTCCCCATGATAAGGAACTTGCGTTGCATGCAAATCAGAACGACAAAGTGACTAAATAAAAGTGTATAGCAATGGTAGTCTATGGTCGAAACATACAAAAACCATTTTGTTTATGCATTTCAAACGGAGTCATAAAACACTTCCAAACTGAAATCTAGGTCCTATTCAAATGGCACAAAATGCACGAAGTACATGGGAAAATCAAGTCAAACAACGCGTGAAAATTGCATACGGTAACAAGAATTCATTATTTAGACCAATGAGATAGGACATGCTTTATAAAACCCATCTGTTAAGCGTTTTGCAACTTGCCCGTAAATTATTGTACTCAAATGTGTTTGCAGATAATTTACGGACTATGTATGGCAGCAACAAAGCAATTGAGTAATTAATTTAACAATTTTAGAAACAGATAGTTGAATATATATTTTGTCCCATTGTTAAAATATATTTTAAACGGCCCAATGACTTGAAATTAACACTAAGAAATGTAATTTTAAAAGCCAATAAATATTTGCCTTAACCGTTTTCTTGCTAATGGCCGAGAGCTACGAATTTCCGTGTATAAACGGATTTAAAAGTGTTTACATATTTACTAAATCTTGAGAGAGAGTCCAATTAAAAAATTAATTCAAAGTGATTAACATAATTTACCCAACAGTGAATACAAATTTAAATTTTATTTACTGCTCCCGACCTCGTTATGAATACTGAAAATCCTCAGAAGGCTCTCACTCTGAGCAATAAATTGTATATAAATCCCTACAGATTTCTTCGTTCGCGATAACAGTCTGATTTATCCAACAATTTCGATATATCAACAATAGATACGTTGAATATCGATTAGACGCCTAAAAAGGAGACCTCGTTTTTCTTTTTCACAGATATCTTCGGATGGTGATTCTCATAAATAATTGGAAATATTAGATGGGAATAGAAAACCTTTGCGAGGCCATAAATATTTTAGACTCGGGGATTTATTTAGGTTTTATGTCCGCCTCATCTTTATTTACTACGTCTTTGCTACCTGTACTCGGAACTCTTTGCTGCCTATCCATTGAGCAATTTTTGATTCCACGAATTGAATGTAAAAATACTTCTTTTACGTGTTTAGCAAGAGCTGATTTATGATAAAGCACTCTAAAGATGACTAAATGTATGGGAAATTATTATTAATTTTCTTAGAACATGCACATAAAATTATTTTAGAGCTTGTGTGAGAAACTGCTGGGGATTAGAGATGGATCGAATTCATGTCTCGGATTAAAATTATAAATTAAATCAAATATTATTATTAATTATAAATGCAATCGACAAAATACTGAGAAAACGAAGAGAGATTTAAAAGGTTCAAAATGAGATTACGCACAGATATATAAGCAAAAACAGCAAGCAAAATAATCGTAAAAAATCATATCATTATATATTGAGGAGCCAACAAGCATATGTTAAATGCAAATTTAAACAGCCATAAACTAACCAATTAGCTAAAAATTAAATTTTCAAACAAGGTAGAAACTGAATAACGATTAAACTTTCCGTTTGATCTCGATCTCTAATTACGTACAGATTTTAATATTGGCTCTTAAGAAGCCCCAGACCGTTTTTGAACCTATTAGCTTTGGTTGAGCCTGAAATGAACACTCTTGAAGTCCGTACTTTATTTATCTCATGTATTTTTCATAGAAATATGTACTTACTTATAAAATATAAATTATCAACTCCTCCAAGAAAATTCTTTCGAAGCATTATTCGAATTTTAGAAGCAACAATTCTAATAATGTGAAGTATTTATATAAACTTTGGCTATTATCCTATTCTCCTATAGATAAAACACCGGTAATGTCAAGATTGCCTAATAAACTCAGGGGCATTCAAGTTAGCACCTCCGGCTTAAAAATAAAAAATAAAATCCGATCCTGACAAAATTGATTTTATTGACGAATATTTAGCAAACTTCACTAACACGGTCAGCGATAAATAATAAATAATTGGTAATTCGTACCTATGTAATTTGTACAAATTTTAAACATCTTAAATCGAAGAATCATCAATCTTCATCCCTTTGTTCCATTTGAGGGCAAAAAATTGCCATTTCCCTCGTTTCTTTCTTTAAACGAAAGAAAGCTATCACTCGAGATTATCTAAAACACTTTCAGACCAGACACATGTGCTCTCCACTTCTACTTTTGTTTTATTAAAGTCTTAAAAGGAAAAAGTATCGTGTGTGTCCAGGGCAGGTTTCCGGATAGAAAACGTGTACATTTTATAGGAAAGAAAATTACTTCCTGTTTAAAGGCTTTTAAAGGATTTATGGGTTTTGTGTGTTGCATTCTCCTAGAATTTATAGTACAGAATGTTTCGAATAGTTTCTACACTTACAGTTGATGTTTATTGCTGATTTAAATTCCAATTTAACTCAGCAAAATCATCTATATGTCCATTTTCTAATTGTGTTACTTATTAAACCCCTGTAATAATTTTTAATATAAATTATCCCAAATCAAAATTAATTCCTGGGTTTCAGTCATTTATTGTCTCTATTTTTCAATTAAAATACGTTTCGGTGTATTTTTCCACCATCTTCAGTTTTTCTAAAATAACAGATAGTTAAACAAAATTTTCATTAATTTAAAGAACAATCACAGTTCGTCAACAGCCTCATCATATCACACATTAAAATACACCACAATTGCGATACTTTAAAACATTCTAAAATTACATTTAGGAATGTTTTCCGGGCTTTGAAGCCGTGGTCTATCGGAATTTCTTCCTGACGTTTCGTCCACAACTGCGGTGGACATTTTCAA